GGGGGGTGGGGGGGGGGGGGTGTGTGAGTATTATTGTCTACAATCCATACTGCTATAATAATCATTTCTCACTTAATGTCGTCACACGCTGTTAGACCAGAAAGGAAATGTCGGACGATGTTGTAACGATATAAAATAAAAGGACATTCGGATGTTGTAACGACGATGTCTAAAACTTCGTCACAACATTCTATATGTTGTGGTAAGGCATTTCCACGACGTCGTCACAACATACGTGTGCTACCTGGGTGACGTACAGATACGATGCACAGGGTGATCCAAAAGTCACCCTTTGCCGTCAGATAGCTTGCTAAGTTTCGTGTTCACGACGAACGATGTTTGTTTCCTGACGTGTTAGTTCTGGCCGTTTGCTTTCCGCTTCCCTTTGCATCCGGGACGGATCCTGTGGCGAGAAGTCACGGTGAAATCGAACAGGATTTCCCTGCACGTTTTGGGAAACGTGCACCGACTGAAGCCGATCTCCGAAGATTGGAGAAGGAAACGTTCGCCAGAGGATCTATCCTGGACGCAAAGCGAAGCGGAAGACCGATGCGAAGAAGTCGGCAAGGAAATGAACAGCCGAACCGACTGTTCCGAAGACGTCGACGTTGCGTGCGACGAAGAATGCCCATGGTTCGTGCAAGAATGAAAAAAAGTTAGCGTACGATGATAGGTTTGAACCTGCATGGCGTATGGCACGGTAAGGCTGAGCATCATCGAGAGATGTGTCACCGCAAACGGTCTGATGTTAGTTCGGGCCGTCTGCTATAGGTCAGGAAACTAACACCTTCGAGAACACGAAACTCAGCAAGCTATCTGACGGCAAAGAGGGCCCGATCGTGACTTTTGGACCACCCTGTGCATGGCTCTCCCACCGTTTCGGATGGAGGACGAAGCGAGAAAAACACGGAAATCGTCGGATGAAAGTGCGAACCGAGGCACCTGTCTATCCCTGATAATGGGGAGCTATGGACGTTTAGTTTAAGGAAAAGTGAGAATTCCTACCGCCCTCCATCGCGTGTGCCGATTGTTTGTCGCCCGAGGAGACCCCGCAGCCACATCCCCGCGGCCACACCCCCGCAGCCACATCCCCGCAGCCACATCCCCGCTCTTCCGCGTATCAGGTGAGGATGGCGGAAAGGGAGGCTCACCCGAGCCGGGACGCGAGCATCGCGAAGGGCTTGCAGGAAATCCGCGGAGAGTCCATTCGGCCGAAAAGGACGCGTGGCCGTTTTCATCGTCGTCGGACTTCCGAGAACGAGTCGACTTTAAGAATCGTGATTTTGATGGGTTATTTCAAGGGTTTGCCGTAAAAATGAGTTCGTGCCGTGTTGGTACCATGGCGGAACGGCAGGATTTCATTTGATAGTCTCTAAATCGAGTGGTCGGTCTCGAGAAACCTTCATCTCAGATGTAATTTTTTTTTTTTGCAGGTGCGGAACGAGATGCCGCATCTTACGACTATAGGAGGAGTTTCCTTCGCACTTGCGGTCTTTCTCGTTCGAGTGAGTCGTGGAGTTCCTCTCTTTCCCCCGAACCCGAAAAGCGGACTCGGTACGATCGGCTTTCACCTCGAAGTCACGCCCACTCGACCTCGACTTAGGACCTTAGGATCTGGGAAAACGGCCCAGCAATTCATTTCTTCTAAACCATATTCAGAAATGTTTCTTGTTTTTTAAGAGTTTTTCTCAAAATATTACTAATTGCCTTATACTGCAATTTTCTAAGCACCCGACACTACAATTTTGAACATTTCTCTTTTTTTTTTTAAATCATCTTATTCCCATTAAACAAATGCGAAACTTTGTTTTGTGCACCAGATAATTTGGGAGAAGCGAATGTTTGAAATGAAATGAAATTTCAAATCGACTAAATGCAAACCTTGTATGATAGAAAATTTCAGTGCAGGAAGACGTCGATGTGCCACAATGTGCCATGCATGAAAATGAACACGTCTCATTTGCCATGTGGCATGTTCATTTTTTTTTTTTTTACAATAGGAGACTGTGGTGCAGAAAGCTGACGATGAGCCACATTGCGTCATGCACGATCGCTGTGGCGTCCACAATGGGATCGTCGGACCATCTCCGATTCCCTGCGTGTATAATGGGCCACCGATTCCCATTCCCTCTTCTTTCCCGATTTACCAGACTCTCCTTGACACGTGCCCCGAGTTCTTCGAAGGATCGGGCGAGTGCAAAAGAAAAGCGTGAGCATAGGATTGCAGCCGCCTCGTGTTACAGAAGTATTCAGTGGACTGAATACTTCTGTAACTATATATATAGAAATAACCCAGACAGTCGATCCGACTGTCTGGGTTATTTCTGCAACGATGGGCAATGGCTCTCCATTCTCATCCGATCACGATTTTCTATGCTACAGACGAAGGAGAAGACGTGGTTGTCTGCTGTCACGAGAACCAGATCACAGCAATGGTGGATGGCCTCTCCATCCCAAACCAATTTCTTCGCGGTTGCCCCTCGTGCTACCGAAACTTCCGGCAACACATCTGTTACCTCGCCTGCTCGCCCGTTCAGTCCACTTTCTTGAAAGACACAAAGGGATTCCCAAGTGACGAAAAGCCTGGTGAGTCTCTCTTTTGTCCGATGAAAATACAAGTAGGACTTTGAGGCCTCGAGCCATGGGAATAGATGTTTTCATTTCATAAAATGGCACACCTCGATTTCATGTTTTTGGGCCAGTCCATGCAGCGCCTCCCAAGAAGTCGGGCGTTGCAGGGTCGGCTTTTGGCATGTGCCACACGTCCTCCCGCACAAGGTGCAAATTCACTAGGGGCGCCAAAACGTGAACGTATGTATGAAGCGGTAACGGACGTCACCCTCGGTTTTACTTCAAAGAGAGGAAATGCCTTCGATTTCGGTGTCATTTTGGACGCTAGGGATTGACTCTTCTTCCTTCAGGAATGGGGGGACGTTGGGAGTCTCTTTGCACGGGGCGTTGAAATAGCTAGGGCCGATCCTGCATTGGTGGGTCAGTTGCGGGAGGCAATGAAATTACTTGTCAGGTCTCCTCATGATCGGAAAGAAAATTGCGACAATATTAACAATTTTGTTTGGGTGGAAGCGCATGAGAAATATCAATATTCATCAATTCTTCCGTTTTAGGTCAAATGGCTGTTGGAGAGATGGACTACTACATTTCCGAAGCATATGTTTACGGGACACATGACTCTTGCGATAACGTCCACTATGGGCCAGCACTTCTTGCATTGACACTTCTTTGTGGTGGCAATCAAGATTGCACGCCACATGACATGTTCAATTACTTGGGTAACATTTCGAATGGGCAGGCTCCTTTCCAGATCAACTATTTGTATCAGACCGAGGACGAAGTGAATGGCTTCAAGCCTATGAATGCCACTATCGTGGAATGCTCGGAACCGGTGGATCCAGATGCAGTGAGTCTCGTTTCCCCC